CCTTCCTTTTCTTCTTTTGAAAGAAACTTCTGCTAAGGTGGTTTAAAGTATTTATCCTGTTTCTGAACCACCATTCACCCTTGGGAAAAATGCTATCATCTGATGAGATTTTGCTTTTCTCCTTCAAGAAGATTTTATCCAAGAAAACACTTTGGTAAGCCAAACCTATCAAAAGACATGATGGAAATCTCATTTCTCCCATTGGTAAATGGTACATACTTTAACCTGCAAATATAATTCGCCTATTTTCAAGGAAAAATAAACTTTTAATTTCCTCACTTTTAAATTATGATTAAATCTACAAAGCAAAGAGGAAAAAAAGGAAGACAATGATAAAGAAATTACTATCAAAACTGAACCTAATCATAAATGGCTATCTCAGTTTTCATTTACTGGTTTTTTTTCCTCCATCTCTGCTATGAATACCGAACTTTTTCATATCACACACAAAAAAATCAATTCCATAGATTTGGAAGAGGAAAAAAAGGAAGACAATGATAAAGAAATTACTATCAAAACTGAACCTAATCATAAATGGCTATCTCAGTTTTCATTTACTGGTTTTTTTCCCTCCGTCTCTGCTATGAATACCGAACTTTTTCATATCACACACAAAAAAATCAATTCCATAGATTTGTCTTTAGAAGCAGAGTTATATGAAAAACAAAGACAAATGAAAACTGGGGAATTGCAGAATGGGTGAAAAATGTTTCAGTTCTTTTTTATTATCAATTAAAGTTTAAACAGGTCAATAAAAACAGGTCAATAAAGTTATAAACTTTTAGTTGATGCTGATACACTCAGACCCTCACTCTTTCCAGCTGCTAATTAGTATTCAGTCACCAGTAAGAAAAGCCACTTATCACTAAAGAGTTAGTACACCACTATGTCCCCAATGAGATGAACTCCTAAACCAAGAACCATTTTACTCTAATGGGAATTACCTAGGTTCTTGAATATAAAATATTATTAACAAAAACATTCCCTTATCATGCTTTCTGTATTTGTCAAATGCTCACCCATTATAAAAATAGTCCTTCTGCCTCCCTACCCTACCTACCCTATCCTCTATACCTCTCCCCGCCGCCCCACCCCGCCACTTCTGTAGGGGAAAATTATTGACAGAATTTCATGTGATAATATATATATCAGATTTCCTTATAAGATGAGAAATATTTCAAAAATCACAAAATGTATTTAAAATTACTCTTTGGGTTATTTAACGCAAAGATAAATCATTCCTTGGGATGTGTTAACAGAAATAGCAATTTAAAAAAAAATACCAAGTGCCTACCTCGTGCAGTGCTAGGTGTGTTCCTGTACTTTATCTCATTTAATTAAAAAACTAAAAGATCTTGGGAAACTTTGGCTTAACTTCTAGTTTAAAACTTAGACTCTTGGTCCTATATTTTTACAGTTACTACATAACAAATGCATAAAATATCAAGGCCATATATCTCCTTAAAACAAAATTCAGAGCAAAGTGACATATTCCAAGTACTTTCCCACCCCTTAAAGCATATAAACCTACATACTTGAAAAAGGACACTAGAGTTCAGCAACAGTGTTTTTGAATATCAATCTCTTTCAAAGCTACAGGTTATAAAGGTTTGCAGAAGCCAAGTCATACATAACTAATATTATGGCTAATATATATATTTTTTGATTAGTGTGTTCATTGCATTACCTGGATTGACTTATTTAATTTTCACAATAATCCTACAAAGTACATACCATATGATCTCCATTTTACAAAAAAGGAAACTAAGAAACATGAAGAAACATGAAAATCATTTGCCTGTGATCACAGGAGGCACTGGGATTCAAAACACAGCCCATCTGACACCAGACTGCAGAATCCTAATTACCCACATACCTACCTACCACTTATCAACATATAAGTGATCCTTTAAAAAGCATGCAGGCATGCAAATCATGGGTGTCCATCTCTTCTCTCTTCCCATACACAAAATATATAAAATCTGACCAAAAAGAACCACATAAATCAGCAATCTAAGCTTCCTAATCCATCTCAATAGTACTGATTTTTATTTTTATATAAAACCTGAATCTAACTTAACTGTGGAAAAGCTTCTTTAACACATGCTTCCTTTCAACTGTAACAAACCTCAGGCAACATACTCAGGCAAGATGTTTTCTTTACAGACATACCAGGTGAATAATCATTTCTCCCAGCCGTCCTAATTCTTCAAACTCTTCTGATTTCTTTTTGTGTCTTTCTTCTGTCCAAAGTCCATGATCTCTGCCTGCTATGTCCAAAATTACCCACCACCCCATCCCCCACAAATAAACATTAATCGGGCTCATATTCAAATAATGAAGCTGGAAAGGACCTTAGAGAGATCAGGTCATCTGATCACACTTACTCAGAGGCAGACACATCTACAACAGGACAATGTACACAGCAACCCCTGAAGTTGAGCCAGCCCTAAGCTACAAAATCTGTTACTGGCCAAGGGAGGCTACGTGTTGCTTAATGCTCGCCATTAAAATTGCCTCCTGCTCCTTCTGTCTTGACCACAGGAGGGACGCCAGGTAGAAGACAGTCCAAAGGGTATCTTTACTACTGGATAAACAATTTTAGCACACACTTATCCTCCTTTGCACATGGCTTACATAGCAACACTTTTGTCAGTTCTCTTCTGTTACATCACCTACACTTAAAGAATTAAACCAAGAGCAGCAACAATAAAAACATTACTGTTACTAGAAGACTAATAAGTAAAGTACAATTGTTGGGTTTTATACCCACATGACACCCGAAAGTCTTCACAGGTTTTCTCTGCAATGCAATGCACAATACCTTACAAAAACTCATGTACCACTGGATTTGTGGCTTTAATATGTCATGCATCATTTTGAAAATTTATTACCTACTGTAAGGAATTCCAATTCATTTCAATTCATTCCACAAAATTTTTCAAGGCGTTGCTTTGGAAAAATACACCGAGTTGAACAAGAATTTTATTAAAATAAAAGCATACTTTATAAATCATATATAAAACAGTGGGAGCAAGAGGCAAACAAAAAAGAGTAAACAGAATTGCTTAAAGAGAAAGACCATCTGTGATAGTTTCATGTAGAAAGAACATTTAATAGTGCTTTATGAATGCCATTTAGTCTTCTCACAAATGAGCAAACATTCTGAAAAGGTGCCTTTCAAAATTCTGACCACTATAAGAAACACACATACCATCTCTGAAATAAAATTTTCACAAACCATTATTTACCCATACTAATTACCATGTATTCTGATTCTTTTTTAATGCTGGTGACGATATGCTAAATTGATTTCATAGCTCGCCAGTGAATCACAACCCACAATTTGAAAACTTCTGTTCTAGAAGAATCACAACATGTCAGGAAGACAAAGTTGCTAAACTTGACAATTTTGATAGACTAATCACACCCCAACAGCATTTCAGGGCCATAAGAAACAAAAGCCAAACATACGAAAAAGTTCCAAGTAACATCTGCATTAAGAAAAAGTTTCAAGTTAAGAGAAGAATCAAAGAAGGAAAAATTAAAACTTGAGATAATGAAACAAATCCATTCAACTCTCATCTCCATTTTACAGACTATAAGTAGAAAGCCTTTAACAAACACTGTAACAAATTACCCAGTCTCCAGTATTTTATGCTACTCTGCTCCTAATCTGGCCTTCTTTTAAAATTTTGGTATTACCTATGAGAGTAGGGGAAAGGTGGTGTCCGTGGACCAGTGGGAATCTGTATTGGCACCATGTCCTGACCCTGGCTAGCTTTCAACTCAGATCAGTGCAAACTCAAAGAAGGGAATTTGCTACTAAGGCTTCCTACCTTTTACCAGCATGTAAACTAGGCACATCTGGGGGCAAGCCCACAGGACAGAAAGAAAAGATTTCAAAAATTACCAGCAATTTTTAGCCAGACATCTTCCTTGATCATCGTCTAGACATAACAAGCCAAAGTAAGGAGACTACTGGGATGGATAATCACTGATAAGTAACTAAGGCCAAAATCAGACAAAAAGGAAAAGTGAAGAGAAGAGAACTTCATAGTAAATAATGTTTATACTTCAAAAATAGAATCAAATACCCTTTGAGTTACTAACAGCTCTGTCACGGTCAGTGTAAGATTTCTTATGTTGCTAAGAGGTTAGAATAGATAAACTGATAATCCCTTCCAATTCTGAAAATCTGTCATTATAAATTTAAATCCCAACATCAGATAACATCTTTTGGGGATATTAGATGGTCACATGCTCCTTCAGGCATCCACCAAAGGATAATGCTATCCTTCATCAAAAACTTGTAGTGAAGATCACATATCCTACCCCTTCCAAATGAGTGGCTATACAAAATGAAGAAAAAAAAATTAAATATTTCATTTTCAAAATACCGACACCGGTTTATGGTATATATGTCACGTTTTATCAAATTATAAATTTTAAATACATGTAGTATATTGTTACATCAATATTGCCTCAATAAAGCTATTTATAAAATACTATTATCAACTTTCCATCTATATAAATAAATTACTTCATTCCAATGATCAAAAGATCAATATCATAGTTGCACCCCAATATTGTCTGTTTCTCTTTTAAATTTATTTTCCCTTGTATTCAAGTTTTATAGTATTCTTCTCATCTTCCTAAATTATTAATCATTGAAAAGCATAGTAACGAAGCTTTAATGAGCACCTAAATTTTCTGCTGCTATTCAAATGACCCATTTTTATATGATAGAATATACCTTTCCTTTAAACATTTAAATGACATCCTAAAAATCTGCATTCCTTAATATTATTTAATTTCTTTCTTCCCATTAGTCACAGGAATTCATATCTAGGCCACACCTACTTCCATGCTTCCATTTTATGGTTCGGCATTTACGGTTCAAGCATTCATTTTCTTCCCTCATTCCTTATTATAAAGCTATCTGAAATAAAATCTGGAAACCAGTCAGGGAAAGGAGGGAAGCCAATACGATTACTCACATCAGATTTAGAGGACATATTCTCCTCCACATCTGAATCATTGGGATCCACAATATCATCAAATGGCGGTAAAGTTGATTTCTTCTTCTCTGATGTTTCACTTTCAATTTTGACCTTTCCCATCTTGACATGAGATTTATCTTTTATCTGTTTCTTGTCAGCAGAACAAGTGAGTATCAGCGGTGGCGCACTAGAAAAACTTTTAAATAGAGCCTCTGAGCTACTCTTTTTCCTTTTTTTGGCTGAGAGTTCTTCGGAATCTGAAATGGGGGGCCTTTTACTAGGAGCCTTCTTATTTTGCTGTCCACTGGTGATGGTGAGTAAGTTACTGTCTGGTTTTGGCTCTTTTGACATGGGTTTAGGTTCCTTGAAGGCCATCTTAGGGACTATTTTCTCTTCTTTCAGTGGTTTATTTTCTTTGGGTTTCTTAGAGGATTCTTTGGAAGATTTGTTGTGATCCCTGGAAGGTTCTTTGAAGGCACTTTTATGTTCTCTGGAGTCTTTAGAAGGTTTTTCCTTGTGCTCCTTCATTAATTTGTGAGGCTTTGAAAAACTGGTACTACTGCTGCTGCTGCTACTGCTGCTGCTGCTGCTGCTGCTGGTATGAATACTCCTGTTAGGGTCCTGCAAAAAGGGAGAAGAAAATGAAACTCTCAAAACTAAAAGCCAATTTCCTTGAGCTCGATCTACATAAATGATCCTTTTTTGATTGCTCTCAAGCTATCTCTAAAATGCCAAAAATATTTTAATATAAACCAGACAACCACAATATAACAGGGGGGAGTAGTGCATGCAAGAAACATAATGAGAGAGGGTTACTATTATCAAAAAATTTAATGTGGCAAGCTGTTTTCTTAATCATTCAAAGTTTTAAAACATTTCAATTCAACACATGTTAACTAAATGCTTGTTCTAGATGATACAAGATAGATACCACATGGCCCCCACTCCTAATAACTATGACATATCTATGACTTGACAGCTGTTAGAAGAGCCACCTAAAAAGTGCTATAACAACCAAAAGAAGGGGACTATTTAATTCTGTTGGGAGCATATGGAGAAGAATAATTCAGAAATTTATCGAGAAATAACAACACCTATCGAGAATTAGGTCAGGTCTTGGAGGATAAGCAGGTAATTACTAAAAAGAAAAGAATGAAAAGGTACTTAGAGACCAGGGACTGGAAAAAACTAAAACAATAACAGAGCAAAAGCACAGATTGTATTTAGGGAACAGCAACAAGCTGCAGCACAAGATTGAGAACGAGGAAGAAAAATAGCCAAGGGTCACATGGTGAGTTCAGATTATATAAAATTTTAAACGGTTCTGTAATATAAAGAATCATAAGACTCCAAAAAAGAAATGAAATAATTCTCAATTTGAGATAAAAAGCGATTATTTTTATACTGGACAAAATATCATCAGTTAAGGAATGTGTCTCCAACCCACTATGGAAAAAAAAAAAAGGAATCTAACAGAACAAGGATTTCACCTAACCATCAAACACACTGAAAAGTCTTTAGCAATTATTGTTGTGTAATCATAAGAAAAGAGCTAACTGTTGCCCATTTCATTTTAAATGTCATCAGTTTTTTCAGTCATATAAATACCTGAGTATATATAATCTTTCTGTTTAGGAACAAAATCTAAGTCCATACTTATCATGTTTGTGAACCTCTGCCATTAATAGTAAGAATAAGAAACAGAAGAAGATCCTGGACATGCAAAAATCTACACCAATACTAAAAGAGCTCTTTCTTGCTTACTTCCACCTCTAATGGAGCCAAAGACAAATAGATGTCCAAATGTTCAACCAGGATTCACATCTTCAGGCTTGCTTATTATCTTTCATCTCTAACTCACCCACTCAATAAAGCACAATAATATGTAAACCAATCCTATATTTCTTAAATGTCTAGCACGATACAGAAAAGACAGTAGGCAGTCTTGCTTATTTCCACCTCTAATGGAGCCAAAGACAAATAGATGTCCAAATGTTCAACCAGGATTTACATCTTCAGGCTTGCTTATTATCTTTCATCTCTAACTCACCCACTCAATAAAGCACAATGATATGTAAACCAATCCTATATTTCTTAAATGTCTAGCACGATACAGAAAAGACAGTAGGCAGGGGCTATGCTTTTCACTAAAATGAACAATTGGGTCTATAAAAAAGAAAAAAAGAAAGCATGTGTATATGTACATCAGAAATTAATACCTAAAATAAAAAATTATTGTTTTTGTTAGTGGGAATATGTATTTTTGTCCTTTACAAAATTTTTTGTCATATTTGCTCAACAACAATAAAATGACGTATACCAAATTATTCCATTTATTTACTCAACTGAGCATTTGCTTTCAAAATTCTAAAATGGATAAAGTTACTAAGCAAAGACATGCTTTTATACATCAAACTAGATAATTCCTTACAAAACATCTTAATCTGAGATTTAAAAGCAGAATGCTAAAGATAGAATGCATATTACTGAAACTTCATTATTTTATAAATTCTATTACAAGATATTTCCTGGCATGTTAAGCAATACTATGAATAATTAAAATAAAGTATAATGGACAAACTAAATTAAGGAAGAACATTTTGAAATCTAATATCCTTGAGGTTTTTTAAAATGATTTGTTGAGTCACTGAATTTTGGCAATTTGTAATAAGTATTCTAACTATGGCTCTAGAACACACAAGCATTGCTATTTAATATTCAACCTATTTGTAGTATTACACACATTTTTACATATGTAACTTTTTTTTTAAATTTTTTTGTCCTTTTTGTGACCGGCTGCACCGCGCTCAGCCAACACTGGCCATCCCTATATAGGATCCGAACCCGCGGCGAGAGTGCTGCTGCGCTCCCAGCGCCGCACTCTCACGAGTGCGCCACGGGCTCGGCTCCATATGTAACTTTTTAAAACACATGATTTTTAACCTACCAACATATTTCTAATGTTAAGCATTAGAAAAACAGTAACATTCTGGCACCCGGGGGGAAAAAAAGAGAAAAATGGACTTCTCTAGGGGTCTTTCCATGACTTATTTTTAAAATCTTTGTGTAGAACAAACTGGAATTCTAACATTAGGTATACAGTGGTATCTGACAGAGCTCCTTGTGTCACAGAAAGTTAAAGTTCTTGTTTTACTTACGTGCATATAATGCGAGGTACAAAACTCCAGAAATGTAACTTTTTACTCCCCATATTGGCCTAGGTATTTATGTCTACTGTTACCTACTTTTCACCCACTCAACACATCTTGGTACAAACAAGTGACCTGACCATTCCTGTTCCTTCCTTTTTGTAATTACCACCTCAAAAACCTTTAAGCTAGGAGAATCCAAAGTTAAGGGGACAAACACTTCCATAACAACGTTCTAGACAGATAACATTTGGAAAATAAGAAAAAGGAAAGAGAGAAAGAGAGAGAGAGAACAGTTTCTATTATACAAGAGCAGGCATTTTTGGGGCCCCAGCCTGTGATAACAGGCAAAGTTCAGATATATGTCATCAAACTCCATATTCATCCATGTAATAAATGTAAAACACTGGCTTAGATACACAATCAGGCATTAAATTGCTACTGACCCAGAATAAAGGCTTTCACTGATTCTTAGCCTACCTATCATCCCATATATATAGGGGATCTAGCCACTGGCTTTTTAAAATTTTTACTGAACCATTAACCTCAACATTAAGTGTCACTGAGCAGCACACACTAATTACCATTCAATGTGAAGTTTACACATGCTGTATAATTCAAATTCTTTTTGCCTGAGGCTGATTAGGACAAACTGAATACCAAGCAATCCAACCAGGGAGTGCGTGTGTGCATAATTCAAATCTCAAATGTTTAAGGCAAATGACTGTTTAAACATAAATATACATGTATTTGTACTAACTTTACAACCTATGAATATAGAGTACAATATTTTCTTTCTTCCATTCAGGCACTACTGAATACATCCTTGTTTTAATTTTCTGGAACATAATGGATCTCTCGGATATATAATCTCTTCTAATACTACTTGACAGCAACTTTAGTAGATGGCTTAAGAACAGGGTGTAACTACTGGCCAGAATATGGTTTTCTGATGATAAGTGGCTTTTAATTTCCATATTATTTTCATGTCTTCTTCCCAGTACCACTGAAAAAGCTGATTCTCAGCTCCTGTCCCTCTAGCTACCCTCTTATTTTTGGTCTCTGTCCTACTTTAACTGGCTTCTGCATTGTGCAAGATTTTCAGATCGATCACATTTTTTCAATTAAATTTGCATATGGACAAATAAACTCTCCCAGAGGAATTTTATCTGTCAAAACCAATAAACTCTCCTAGAAGAGTTTATTTGTCCAAACTGCATTTTAGAAGGATACTTCCTAAAAACTGTAGTAGAGTTCAAGAGGGAAAACCACGACTGTTAAAGATAGGCTTCCAAATAAAAGTCTCTGCTATAATTAAGCACATGACAAATGATGCAGGGGGGTGATACTATCTGAGGCTATGAATAACATATGCAAACATAGGATTCTGTGGCAAAAATAAGCCTTGATTTCGATTTACCTTTCCCTACTTCAATCCCAAATCCAACCCCCTTTACCTTTCTTGAACTAGTCAGCTCTGGGGCGATCAGGCAGTGGGGCCTGAAGAATGTTGCCATAGGCTTATGGGCATCTCGAGAGAAAGGGCTAGTACAGGATTTGCTCTGCTCTGGGCTGCAAGCTAGACCCGGAAAAGTTCTGCACACAGATAACTGCAAAAGTGTGGCCAGCCTCCCTAGTCTCAAAGGCACACAGGAGGCACCCAAAAGGAGGGAGAGTCCACTCTATTCCTGGCCTGGGGAATATGAGGAGGAAGACACAGAGTCCTCCAGGTGTGCATACGAGAAGACAACATGCCTGCTGCTACGGTGCAGGCTGAGATGCCTGGATGTTTCATCACTTAAAACAGCCAAGGGTCCCGCAACAGCTCAAATTGAACGTCAGCGCACATACATATAACATACCTAAGGGAGGAGGAACTAGGAGAGAGTAGAACAGATCTTCTGGAGGAGACAGATGTAATACTGAGGTCAAAAACAGTATGACTACATAAGGAAAACCAAATAGTCTTGATTAAGTACAAAAAATAATTCCTAGAAAAAAAATTTTAATTAAATTAAAATTAAAATTCCCAAGCTGATTAATTCAGTAGGTAAAAGAGAGGATAGACTCTAACTGGCAGTATGAAGATCAACTGGAAGAAATCTCAAAGCATAAAGTAACATTTCAAAGAGATAAAAATTATAAAGGGAAAAGAGAAGAAACTTGAACACATCAAGGCAACCTAACATACCAGCCACAGGAAGAATTTTAGAACAGTGTACAGAAAAAGGAAACAGAAGAGATGGAAGAGGCAATAATTAAAGTAACATAAAAGAAAGTTTCCGTGAACTAAAAAAAGGACGAATGAATCGCACCCTAAAGAGTTCTCCAAGATCTAGACAAGATTAACGAGAAGACACACACCCAGGAACATCGAGTTAGAATGACTAAACTTCAAGGATTAAAAAAAAAACAAAAAACAAACCTGAGATGTTACCAGAAAGAATAATTACTTAAAACTGAAAAAGAATC